ATTCCCCCATCCCACCCCATCCACTCCTCAGAGGGGGTAAGGCCTCCCCTTGGCAGTCAAGAAAGTCTGGCATATCAAGTTGAGACTGACCAAGCTCCTCCTCCCTTTCTTAAGGTTGAGCAAGATACCTCACCATAGAGAAGAGGCTCCTAAAAGCCAGTTCATGCACCCAGCATAAGTCCTGGTCCCCTTGCCAGCACCCTTCCCCCAAAAAGATGGAGCCCAGTAACTGTCACCCACCTTCAGAGGGCCTAGCTCAGTACCACGCAGCTTCCCCGGCTGTCAGTCCACGGTCTGTGAGCTCTCATCATCTCAGGTCAGCTGTCTCTGTGGTTTTCCCCATCATGATCTTGACCCTGTTCATCTTTCCTCACTTCAACTGAACTCCAGGAGCTCAGCACAGAGCTTGGCTGTGGGCCACCGCATCTGCTTCCAACAGTTACTGGATGAAGGTTCTATGATGACAATTAGGGCAGTTACTAATCTGACTGTGGGGGAGGGCCAGTTGAGAAACCCTCTCCACTGTTGCTTAGTTGTTAGTTGGGATAATCCTTGTGGACTCCTGGGAATACCCTCGTGCCAGGTTTCTCCTTAGCCCCACAATGGCTCCCTCTATCAAGGCATCTCTTTCCTTGCTCTCCCTCTCTGTCCTTCCCCCAGCTAGACCTTCCTGATCCCTCATGTCCTCTTCCTCCCCCCTCTCCCCTTCCCTTCTGTCTTATCTCCATCCTCCCTGTGCTACCAATTCACTGATGAGATCTTGTCCATTTCCCCTTCTTGAGGAGGGTTGGTCCACGCATATCATCGTATGGCCCATTTGTTTCCTAGCTTATCTGGGGTGGTGGATTACAGGCTGGTTATCCTTTGTTTTATGTCTAATATCCACTTATGAGTACCATGTTTGTCTTTTTGTTTCTTAGTTGTCTCACTTAGGATGGTTTCTTCTAGTTCCATCCATTATTTACCCAAAGCTTTCACAATGTCATTGTTTTTTTTACTGCTAAGTAGTATTTCACTGGATAAATGTACCACATTTTCATATATATATATATATATATATATATATATATATATATATATTTTAAATTTAAATTTGAAACAAACTTATTTTACATGTCAATCCCAGTTCCCACACCCTCCTGTCCTCCCCTGCTCCCCCAAAAACCCCCATCCCATCCCTTTTCTGCTCCCCAGAGAGGGTGAGGCCTTCCATGGGGACTCTTCAAAGTCTGTCATATCATTTGGAGCTGGGCCCAGGCCCTCCCCTGTGTGTCTAAGCTGAGGGAGTATCCCTCTATGTGGGATGGGCTCCCAAATTCCATTCAAATACTAGGGATAAATACTGATCCACTACCAGAGGCCCCATAGACTACCCAGTCCTCCCAACTAACATCACATTCAGGGAATCTGGATTGGTCCTATGCTGGTTTCCCAGCTATCAGACTGGGGCCTGTGAGCTCCCCCTTGTTCAGGCCAGCAGTTTCTGTGGTTTTCTCTAACCTGGTCTTGACCCCTTTGCTCATCACTCCTCCCTGTCTGCAACTAGATTCCAAGAGTTCAGATCAGTGTTTAGCTGGTACCACATTTTCTTTATCCATTCTTTGGTTGAGGGGCATCGAGGTTGTTTCCAGGTTCTGGCTATTACAAATGATGAGCATAGCTGAACAGATGTCCTTGTGGTATGAGTTTGTATCTTTTGGGTATATGCCCAAGAGTGGTATTGCTGGGTCTTGAGGTAGACTGATTCCTAATTTCCCAAGAAACTCATGACCTAGGGGATTTCTGGCACTGGCTGTTCCTGTGTGGTGACTGGATGAATTAAGGTTGGTTGTTGATCACCTTGGACGGCTCTTCCCTAATCTCATAATGTGATGGTGAGGTTGCGTCTCCTCTCAATTTCCCTATCTGTCTCTAAAATGTTTTTCAAGGCTAGTAAGCTATCAGCCAAAATTTCATTATTTTCTTTAGTAATTATTTGTAAGGCTTGCGGATTGTTAGTACTAACCTTTTTAAAGGCCTGTATCTTAGGAATAGTAAGTTTTTCTATGATTTATATGTCATTAGTTACCTTTTTATTCTCTTCATCAATAAATATTTCTTAAGCTTTCATTTTATAAGTCAAAGTTTATTATCTTCTTTAGTAATTATTTCTAAGGCTTGCCTATTTTCAGTCGTAACCCTTTCTACGGCTTGTAACTTATGAATGGATTGTTTTTTAGCTTTGTATCTTATCAGTTTCTCATATTTTACACAGTTATCAAATCATTTATAAGGATAAACTATGAATTTCAAGCGTGATAGTAATTATGACAGAAATTATATAGATCCCAGCTAAGTTTTTTTATTGCCTCAGCTACTTTTTCTATTTGTATTCCCATCCATAGTAACAATGAACTAACTCTCGGCATTTTGGTATTTTCAATTTTTAACATGGGAAAGGTTTTAAGATTATCCTTTCACAGGGGTCAAGACCAGGCTACAGAACCCCCCAGAGACAGCTGACCTGAACAAGGGGGAGTTCATGAACCCCCAGACTGATAGCTGGGAATCCAGCATGGGACTGACTCAGACCCCCTGAACACGGGTCTCAGTTAGAAGGCCTGGGCAGTCTATGCAACCTCTGATCGTGGAACCAGGATGTATCCTTGGTGCAGGAAAGGACTTTGGGAGCACACACCCCATGGAGGGATTCTCCCTTAACCTAGAGGCAGGAGGGAGGGCCTAGTCCCTACTCCAAAACTGGACAGATTTTGATGATCCCTCCTGGATGGCCTCACCCTCCATGTGGAGCGGGTGTGTGTGTGGGAATGAGATGGGAGGGACAGGAAACCGGGACCATTAATATGTAAAATAAGAAAAAATATTTTTAAATATTATCCTTTCACATTTAAAAATGCAATATTAATTAATTTTAATTAAAGTAATATCCTCGTTTATGGTTTTGAGTGGGTGGATGACAATCCTCACAAGGGTGGGCTGTGCAGATGTAGTGATGATGTCTGACCAGCAGGTGGAGGCGGTGCGACACCGAGGCAGCAGACCCAGGAGCAGGAGGAACTGCACTGACTCAGCACTCTGGGAGCCCTGTGCTCCAGCTTCCCCCACTTTCCCGTGACCAAGTTGGGGAGGTCCAGCCAAGCAGCAGGGCTAGCCTCCACCCTGACGCCTGTGAGAACCAGGAAGAATTGGCCCAAGATACACAGCTATATTACAGGGGCCACAAAAAACACAATGCCTCCCTCCGTGTCCTGGCTCAAAGAGTCCTGTGCTCCTTCTGGCCTGCCTCTTCTCCCTGCTCTTATCCATCCATCCCTGATGTAAACCCTGTCTCTCAAAATAAATCATTCTTTTCAACTGGAAACGGACCAGTGACAGAATTCCCTCAACATGGCTCCAAAGTGGAGACTAGCCAAGGATGATGCTGAAGTTGGGAGCATTCTGCCGGCCACTCCTGAGCTCCGTTGAGTATGACCTGACGTGTATCTGGGGGCTTGAAAACAACCGTGGTGCAAGTAGGCATGCCATGGGAACGCCAGATACAGCGAAGCAGAGCCCCTCTCTTCCTCTTCCCTGAGAAGTCGCTAGTTCACTGTGTGTTTTAGTCAGTGTCCCATTGCTGTGGAGCCTCAACAATGTGTTGACATGCACGTCTGCACCTTTGTCCTGCAGCATCTGCTTCCCCAGGACTCTGACCTTGTATCACCTCGCTATGGTGGCTCACAGCTATAAGCCAGGGTGGGGTCAGAACCAGGCTGCAGGGGAGAAGAGCTGGTTGTCAAAGGCAGTCCTGATTGTTGCCAGCTGTCACCCTGACCTGAGCTGCTGCTGTGTGTAATCTTTGTCCTTTTCTTCTGCTCATGATGTGAACTGAGGCGGACACGGTGATTATTATGTAACACCACAAGCTGGAGCAGTGGCTCATGGGATAGCATGCCTTCTACGTGGAAGACTCCAACATCTGGGCAAAGAAAGGGAGGATGATAAGTACAGAGGTTTATATCACTCACGCAGGGGTGGGCTCCGGTGAAGCTGCCTTTGAGTCATTTCTGCTCTGTAAGCAATTCCTGACCCACACGTATTCGTGTACGTAACCTGATATAACACCCATTGGTTCACTGAGTTGGACTTCGTTGGTGTCCATACTTTGGTCAAGGGGTCCCAACTGCAGTGTGTAGCTGTGTGTATTGAGTCTTCCCAGGAAACATTTTGTCACACACATCGTGGCCTTGGCAGCGGGGCCTCTGAATGAATCTCACTAGTGTTGATCAACTAGTCAGGTAGAGAAACAAGTACTTAAGAAAAAACAGCGACTTTATTATTGCACATTTGTAGTCGATGTTCCCTCTGTGCACAGTGAGTTCTGTGACCCTCATATGTGAATATCAAGAGGCAGCAATGTGTGGGGCGAGGGATGTTGGCATCGGGACAGCAGGAGCAGGCAGTTCCAAGTGTAAGGGCTTAGGTTATGACTTCAGAGGACAGCTGGGTGTGGAGAACTGAGATGAAGAATCACAGGGGAATGGGTTCACCAGAGAGGACAGAGCCTGACAGATAAATGGATAAAAAGAGCCCCAGCCCTAACAGCCGAGCCAGGGAGGTGCCAGGGACAAACAGATGTGAGAATGAATTTGCAGTTGGTGAATTCACATTTTCCAACACAGAGAAGATCCCTACTGTATTTTCTTTCTTAAATATGTTTTCATCAGTTGATCCCAGACATCCTTCAATGTGAAAGTCTTTATTGATCCCACCTAGAAGATGAAGATCCAGTCAGGGGGAAGGGGAAGGAATGGATAATTCCATAAACAACAACAGCTCCAGCCCTCTTCCTGTGGGCCCAAGAGCCCAATTATTCCCTCAGACCCAGGGTCCTAGACTCCAGCCACAGTCCCTCTGACCTGCCCCATCAGACCCAGGGGTCAGTCCCTGGCCCACCTACTGGGTCCCTAGAGTCATGGCCACACCCTTCCTCATCCTGGGGTACAGCCTACAGCACTCACCTCCCTTAACTGTAATGCCACCGGAATAGCAAGCAGTGTTCTTGGGACAGAAGACAAAGTTGATGGGGCAGAAAGCCTTATCCGTTAAGCAGACAGGACACCTGGTGGTACTTGTATCAAAGAGAGCTAAGGAGAGAGAAGGGGAAGGCTGCACACACAGTACCCTCCCAGCTGCAGCCGCAGGCTGCCCCCTGAAGTTCTGTGTCCCCAGATCACATACATGGGATTTTCAGGTGAGTGACTAGGACATCGCTGCTGGTAGCATTGTTACACACAGGGTCTGAGCAGAAATTGGTATACACGGCAGCCACTATTCCAGGTTCTTGGGCATAATGGTTGACATGGTCTTCACTCCATTCCGTACCTTTGCCCGAGCCTTTGCTCCCCAGTAGGAGAGATTTTGGACCTAAGAGGGAAGAAGATGGAAGCCAGGTTGGGTGGGGAGGATGGCAAGGCCCAGGAGCCCAGTTCTTGGGTCCCTTGATGCCCCAGTCACAGGGAGAGCACAATCCCCAGGGACAATGGGACACAGCATGTTCTGTGTCAGCCAAAGCCTGAAGCTCAAGCTGCTTCTGCCCCGCCCCTTGCGGCTCTGGTGGCGCACACTGTGCACACAGGGACCCTGAGCCCCTCCCGCAGGCTGCAGCCTCACTGTGCTCACCCTCACTCCTGCCCCGCTGGATTCCTCTCCACACCCGACTTCACACCCACGCGACCCCTGTGCTCTGTGTCTCTCTCCTCTTCCCCTTAGCTGTAAGCTGCACAGCACTCAGTGCCTAGCAGAGTCCCAAAGGCACTCAGCTTCCTGCTTCCTTCCTTCCTTCCTTCCTTGGTCCCTCCCTCCCTCCTTTCCCTCCTCCTTCCCTCCCTGTCTCCCTCCTCATTTCCTCACTCTTCCCCAACCCTGAGTCCCATCTAGTCCAGGCTGCTCTGGAACTGCCTACATAGCTGCAGATGCAGTGGACTGTCCCCACCCAGGGCTCCGTGCAGCCATTGCAGGCAGCTGCCACCACACCCAGCTCATGTGGTACTGGGCACCCAGCCCAGCACAGGGCTACCTCACAGACCCCCATGATGGTCAGAAACAAGGCACAGACAGAGGGCCCCAACTGCAGGACACAGAATTCAGGGGAGGGGTGGGTGGGCTGGTGCAGGAGTGTGGCCCTCCATCTCATCCCACGCACCTACGTCTACTACCAGGAATGTCTCCTGACATATCTCCCCAGGTTGTGTTTCTATGGTGTCTTGTGGTGACCACGTAACAGCTTCCTTAGTGAAGCCACTGCCAAATTTCATCAAGGTCCCACTGTGACATTTCAGAGTACCTGTGAAGAGGAAAATCGCCTGGGTTTGTGAGAGTCAGGGAGCCACCATGCTGTCCCTCAACTTCTGGGCAAAGGGCAGCAACCATATTCCAAGTCATTGCACTGGCCTGCCCCTGTCACCTGGCAGAATGTACTCAGGCAGTGCTCTGGTCAGCCCAGGGTGCCATGAGTACTAGTCTGCAAGGAGGTGCAAAGGGCCCTTTAAAAGACAGACCCCGCCCACTTCCATTCTCTGCTCCTCTTTTCCACCTCTCTGCCCATTGTTCCCCTGGGGCAGACAGGACTTTTCCTGTCTCCCTCTTCCTTCCCCTGGGTGTTCCTTTACCCTCCCCCCTTACAATAAAACTTCTCTCTTAAGCTGTCTGCCTGGCATGTTTGTCCCTCCACCTCAGTCACCTTCGCCTGCTGAGGAATCATCCACTGTCCCCCATACAAAGTCCCCTCAAGCTTTATCATCACACTCACCTGAGTAGGGGGTGACGCCCAGCAGGAGGACGAGCAGTGAGTAGTGGATGCAGCAGGCTGCCATGGCTTCTCTGAAGTTGGGAAGAACTGATCAGGTCCTGGGAACTGATGGAGAACAGGAGACCATTCAGACACAGACAGGGATTGTCTTTGTCTTTGCTTCCAGCCTGTGTGAACGCTAGGGTATAGGAGAACATGAAGCCAGACTGTCCTGAGTTGTTTGGAAGTTACATGCTCTATGCTTGCAAATCTCAGACTCAGCCATGGATTCCCTGTACCAAGAATCCAGCAACCATGTTCCTTCCTTGTCTAGATGTGGGATACAGGGCCCAAGAGCCCTCTGCTTTGAGCCTCAGGACTTCAGATCCCAAGCAGAACCTTCTCCAGGCCTCAGTCTCAGCTCTCAGCACCCAGCTCCCCCAGATCTCCAATTCTGAGGGCCCTGGTTTGTCTGCCCCAGGAATGTGGCATCTGGTTTCTGCTCCTCCCATGCCAGTGGACCCAGGATTCCTGTCACCCACTTCCTTTCTTCAGGCCAAAGTGCACAGTACTCAGCACCCTGCCGTGAAGGAGGAGCACCTGCAGCCTCCTCCTGAGGTCATGGGTGGCCATCTACTCCCCAGATGCTTCCCAGAGACACAAAGGCCAGAACAGAGACTTTGAGAACCCAGACCCAGAGAACCATCCCAGCATGCTAAGACCAAAGCCTCCTTCCTTCAGATTAGGGAATCCAGGGCCCAGTTTCCTTCAGACCCAAGACTTCAGTCCCTGTTTATCAAACTCAGGCCTACCTGTCTATCTAGTCCCCTCCCTTGGACCCAGGAATCCAGTCCCAGCCTCCTCCTTCAGACTCAAGATTATAGCCCCTTCCCAGTCCTTTCCCTGCCCATCCTCACTGGCCTCTCCTCGGGTTCGTTTTAAGCAGCAGAATCTTTGTGGCTCCAGAATGTCCTCACCAGATCTCGGGCTTGGAAGGCGCTTCCAGATATGTTCCAGATTCTTGTCTGTCTCCTCCCAGAGTCCCTGAAATAGGCACCCTCAGCCAGATATTACACTCGAAGTCCCCTTGGCTTATGAGAACCCTTTAAAAACTCCATTGGATAAATCCTGAGAATCGCTGCATCTCATTGGTCCCCAGAGATGGCAATTACTGGCCTCTTCGTGAGGCACGCATGTGCAGAAAGGGAGTGTTGGGCAACGGTCAGTGGGGTCAGTGGCAGTTGCCACCGAGGTCACCCGCCAATTGCAGGGTCACGTGGTATCCTGGAGGGTTTCGTGGTGGACGGTCTTTTGCCCTGTCCCACAAAATGCATCTCCCATGTGCAGAGAGCAGGTGACAGCACGGATTGACATCATGGATATTTATCGTTGTCAGTACTGTTACGATGACCAATCAGAATACACGTAATTGTCAGTTCTTTTTTTATTACATATTACTATGTATTGTGTGTGTCTGTTGAGAATCGTATGACAAGGTGCACATTACAGGGGACAATTTGGGGAGTCGTTTTTCTTTCTGCTGTCCCAGAAATTAAATCAGGACAGGTGTTTTCACCTGCTATCTCCCTGGTCCTCAATTTTCTTTTAAATAGTAGCATTAATTATGTGTAACATAATTAGCTATATTGCAATGTTGTCCTAAGATCAGGTAATGCACTTCAGTCGTATATTACGTTTTGAGGCAGAACCTTCTGGCCCAAGATGCCCTTGAACCCTCCTTGTAGCTGTTAATGACCTTGAACTTGTGATCCCTCTGACCTCTCTTCCTGGGTTACTGGTGGGTGCCACCATTTGTGCATCTCTGGGGATGGAACCAGCTCGGCCAGCTCTCTTCTAGCTGAGCGCCAGCCCCGCCCCGTTCATGTTTATCCCTTCTGTTCCCTTTCCACTTTCCCTCAGTCCTGTACCTCACGCTTCTTCTCCTGTCTGAGCGCACACAGGGTCAGACACCATTACTAGCTTTATAATAATTATGAGTGGCATTATATCACTCCCAGCAATATTTTTTTAAGTCACATCATTTATTTTTTTTTTCTATTTTTCCCATCCACAGTAGTAGTGAACAGAGACTAATCCCCTGGATTGTGATATAGCCAACTAAAAATTTTTAATTCAATTTTTTAAATTTCAATTTACATTCCAACCACAGTTCTTCCCTCTGCCTCTCCTCCTACTCTCTTGTCTGCCCAACACAACCACAACCCATCCATACACCCAAAGACCAAGGCCTCCCATGGGGAGTCAGTAAAGCCTGGCACATTAAGTGGAGGCAAGACTAAGGCCCTCCCCACCCGCATCAAGGCCAAGCCTGGAATCCCACCCTAGGGAATGGGCTCCAACATGCTGGCTCATGCACCAGTGATAGATACTGGTCCTACCTCTAGGGTCCCCTCTGATAGAGCAAGCTCTACAACTGTTTCCCCCATGCACAGGGCCTAGTTGGGTCCATGGAGCCTCCAAAGCTGTGGGTCTAGAGTTCTTGGGCTTCAACGAGCCTGGTTCAGCTGTCTCTATAGATTTCTCCATCATGATCTAGACTCCCCTGCTCATGTATTCCCTCCTCCCTCTCCTCATCTGGGTTCCTGGAGCTAGACCTGGTGTTTAGTTGTGGATCTCTGCACCTGATTCCATCAGTTACTGGATGAAGGCTCTGCGATGTCTGTTTTATACCCACCAATCCGATTTCAGGGGAAGGCCAGTTCAGGAACCCTCTCCACTACTGCTAGTAGTCTTAGCTGGGGTCATCCTTGTGGATTCCTGGAAACTTCCCTCGCTCCAGGTTTCTCCCTAACCCCATAATGCCCTCTATTAAATTATCTCTTTCATTGCTCTCCCACTCTGTTCTACCCCAACTCAACCATCGTATTCCCTCATGTTCTCATCCACCATCCCCTCCCCTTTACTGCCCCAGTTTACCCAGGAGGTCTCATCTGATGCCCCTTCCATGCATGCCAATCCATGCATCCCTCTTAGGGTCCTCCTTGTTACCTTGCTTCTCTGGGGCTGTGGATTGTATTCTGGCTATCCTTTCTTTAAGTCTAGTATCCACTTATGAATAAGTATATAGCGTGTTTGTCTTTCTGGGTCTGGGTTACTTCACTCATGGTGGCGTTTTCTAGTTCCATCCATTTGCCTGCAGATTTCATGATGACATTGTGTTTTTATATCTGAATGGTTCTTCATTGTGTAAATGTACTACATTTTTTATCGAGTCTTCAGTTGAGGGGCACCTAGGTCTTTCCAGGTTCTGGCTATAATGAATAATGCTGCTATGAACATAGTTGAGTAAATAGCCTCGTGGCTTGATTGAGCATCCTTTGGGCATATGCCCAAGAGTGGTATAGCTATTTCTTGAGGTAGATTGAATCTTAATTTTCTGAGAAACTGCCATCCAAAATAAAACTTTTAATCATAAACACAGGTCATAGAGAGACTGAGAATTTTACAAAGCCATACATTGGGAACTGTAGCAGGAAAAATAAAAACCCAGAGACAGATTTTGGAGTTCAAGCTTTAAACTGAAGATCAGAGAAACAAAGCAGCCAAGCCAGTAGAGTTTCCCTCTACCAAGCTGAAATGGCAACCCTGTCTCCTCCAGGAATCCTCAGAGGCAAAAGCCCTCAGTTCCTGTCTCCGTCTGCCTTTTATTCCTTTCTCTGCCCAGCCATATCCTCCTGTCTCCACTGCCCTAGAGCTCTGACTAAAGGTGTATGGTCCCAAGTGCAGGGATCAAAGTCAGAGCTCTGTTATTCTTCATTCTTGTGTAGGCCAGGGTGACCTTGAACTCAGAGTGATCCCTCCTCGTGTTTCCTGAGTCCTAGGCTTAATGGTGTGTGACACCACTGCCTGACCTCTATAGCTTGTGGCTGGCTTTGCTTTCTGAATCCTCAGGCAAGCTTTAATACATCATAAATAATAGATCACCACAATTCCATTTTTTGTCCAGTACAAAAAAGAAAAGGCTATATCTAATATAAGAAAAACTATATATAATAAACACAATAAGTACATACAATATATCCTGTATTTGATGAATTCAGAGAGAATACTCTGTTATTTTTTCTTTCTTGGTGGGTTCAAAAGTCTTGTATCTAATTTATTTTCTATTATAATTTGCATTAGCTAATTATTTTTTTATGTCTCCCAACCCTTTACAATTTATACCTGTTTAGTGAGTTTCTTTTCTGAGCCTGGTAAACAATGAAATGTGTGGGTATGATATTTAGGCTTCAACTCTTCAGAGACCCAAGAAGGAAATAATATTGAGTGGGCAGGAAATATAAACAAGCGACACCCAAAAACTATGAGAAATGACAGAAATAGCTGGCTGCCTGGACAGTCACCCAAATGTCCTCTGCAACACTGGGTTCCACAGTGACATAAAAGGACGGACATGACTTTGGCATAGGGTTTTGCATAGGAGCTCCTCAAGGTGTTTCGTGACAGCAATGGATTGCCTTGACAATCTCTTGTGGACCTACATTCTTTTGTCCAATGTCTGCCTTTGCCACACCTTCTGCATAATCCAGAAGGGAAGGGCGTTCTGTTTGGATTCTATTTATAGAAAGAATTGTTTCTAGGAGAGCCATGTTCACAATCCTCTTTTCTAACTACATGCGTACCTACAAGCAAGAAGAGGGCACTAGATCTCATTACAGATGGCTGTGAGCCACCACGTGGGTGCTGGGAATTGAACTCAGGACTTCTGGAAGAGCAGTTATTGCTCTTAACCTCTGAGCCATCTCTCCAGTCCCCTACAATCCTCTTTAAAGTGACCTTGTTTGCCATTTTGATTTTTCTTTAAACTTCTTGAAATAACCTCTTCTATCCATGTTTCATCATCATGGTCATGAGCTTCAATATTAATTGTATCTCTGATCCAATCCTCTGAAGGTGCTGATTTTGACTCTGAGGGCCTAATTATTCATTAGCTTTGGAAATTAGCATTTTCAAAAGCCATAGTTTAATGATTATTTTCTAGTTTCTGTGTTTCATATCATTCTATTTACTGCTGATGGCAGTCTTTGTAGGAAATCGGTGAAGTATTATTTTGGGCCATGTATA